ATATAAAAAATTTTAAAAAATAAATACTATAAGACTTCTTAGCACTTAGCTGCGCGTTTAAAAAGGAGCTTATATAAGTGCTAGAGGATAAGAGAATTACACTACAGCTAGGCACTAAAGGTACCTAAGCCTAGAAGCTATATAATATAGTATAAAAGAAAGTAATTGCACTAAAAAGGCTTTATACATAACCCTTATTACTATATAAGGCTCTGCACAGAAGCAGACTAAACACAATGCTGCTATTAACACTAAATGTACTAGTATTACCTGCTCTTACACCTTAGCTAGCACTACACTAATTACTGTACAAACAATACATGCCACTCTACCTAACGCCTGCTCCACACCCTTAATCGTACACACTACCGCCTGCAGTAGTGTATGCACTACTAATACCACCTGCACAATCTATACTACATTACAACCTGTACAAACATCTACTCTAGAGGGAAACTACTAAAAAAAAACTTCTAGCAGACAAGATTATATAATTCTAAAAAGTATAAAAAAAAAATAATAACTATATAAGTTAACTATATAACATTTTTATAAATAAAATAAAGATCTTTATTAATTTATGTTAATAGCTAAATATTTAGAAAACTTAGTATATAGACATCTTTCTAGATATCCTAGAAGGTTAGGCAAATATGCACTATATGCACAATGTAGGCCTTAAAAATAACTAGAAGCGTTTGTATAACACCTTAAGCATTATAACAAAGAATTTTGCGTAAAGAGAAAAGAAAAAACTATAAAAAGTAAAGTTTTATATAAAGAGTAAAACTATTCTAGTAAAGAAGCAGCCTATTAAGTTTAATAGTAGAAAGATTAAACTTATGCATAATATAGTAGTTTTTACTTAAAAAAGATAAGTAAGCTACCTTTATATAATTAACCTAAAAAATAAAGATGCTGCACAACAATATGTTAAGCAATATATAAAAGGGGCATACATTGCATCTATATGTTAACTAGAGGCAGCATTTAACCTCTCTATTACTGCATAAACTATAGACCTTTTATATAATAACATTAACACACTTAACACATAAATCTAATAGTAGATAGATAGCAGTAAGCGTAGTTTTACCTTTCTACTATTATAGCTTAATTATGTAAAGCTGTTTATCTTTATAAATAGATTATTTACTAATAATAAAAACCTTAGCTTATAGCTAGAATTTTTAATTATATTAAGTAATAAAAACTATATAAAGTAAAGCAACTACTTTAAAATACTAGGCAACATTATACACTAGAATTCTACTAAGTGTAAAAAAGTAGCTAAAAGTGTTCTTACTAGTAAACTGTACAGAATAGTTAGAGAGTTTAATAATATAATTACACTTAGTACAACTTTATAGTAAATTATATAAACACTTAAACTACTACTAATTTTAGTAGTAATCTACATAGATTTAAGGTCTTTATATAATTACCTTATTAAGCTAGGCACTACTAGTAAAAAGTAACTTATAATTAATATTATGTTACTTTATAAATTATATAAAAAAAGAGAAATTACTAAAATAAAGTAAATTAATAGTAAAAACAACTTAGTAGATGCATATATAAAGAAAACACTAAACTAGGCTCTTTAATTATTAGTCTTAACTAACTGCCTCTTTATTTAGATAAAAGCATCTATAGACTAGCTAGATCCTGTACGCAAAAATGCTTTAAACTAACTAGACTAATAACATCTTTATATAAGGCCTATCTTTTTTATTTTTTTTATTATACACACTTATTTTTTTTTATTATAAAATTAGAAGAAAAGAATATGTAAAAAAGACAGTCTATTTATCTAGTATATAAGAGAAGAAAAAGCCACCACCCCTTATATATAGTAGTTACAATGCAGACCACAGCTCTACTATACGCATAAGGCGTAGGCATTAGCCTAGAAGTTAGCTAACACATAACACTTAATAAAAGAAAAGGCACTAGTAGTGCTACTATAATAATAAGTATATAAAGTTACTAAGACTTAACTGCAACTCTAGACTAAAACTACATAGAAGTACCTCTTATAATATATAACCTTTGCTGCCTACAGCTGCAGATTAGTGCTAGTAGGTAAAATAATATTAATATTATAAAATAGTAAAGCTACTATATGCTACTTCTTAGCCTATCTATAATTAGCATTTTATATAAAAAGAAAGTAAAAAAGCTAAAGAATTTATATATTTATACTAAGACACTAAATAAACTACTAATTAGTAGCAGAACTAGTTAAGAGGGTAACGCAGATGCGCCCTAGGCTGCTAGACTGCACAAGGACGTTAAAGACGCCTGCACTAACAGCGCTAGAGGTAGAGGAGGAAGGCTGGAGAGACATCTCTCTCTGTGTGTGTGTGTGTGCAGGCGGGAGTATCTGTCACTGTTAGCACTGTATAAAAAGAGAAAAGAGCTAGGGAATAGTACAGTAGGGCTTAAAGAGTAAAGAATAAAGAAAAGAAGGTAAAAAAAAAAAGAAGACCTTATTATATACACCTCTCTACACACTTGCCTACGCAAAGATCCCACACTATTTTAGCATAAAACCCTGCACAAAACAGTTTATACACTGCTAAATTACTTATAAGGCAAGCGCACAAAGGCTAGATAATAATAGCCTAAAATGCTTTACACTATTTATAAAGCTATTTACATAGCGTAACTAGCTTATCTTAATGTACAGCATTACTAAGGCAAGTTTTAATAAATAGAGTAGAGTAAAAGCAGAATGTAATTAGATAGACCTACATAGATAAAAGGGAGGTAATGCGTACAGAAGGCAACTCTTTAAACAAAAAGAAAAGTTGCTAGTGTCTGTACGCAGCAGCAGCGTCGCAGCCTAGATACAAGCAATTGCGCATAAGCAGGATCACGTATCTATGTTACATAATGCTTGTGTGCAAACCTCTGTGCGTAAACATCTAGATATCCCCCTTTTCCTCTATATAAAGGAAAGACAAGAGTAATAGAACTAGAAACATGTTGCCCTTACCTTACCTACCTTATACGCTGTGCACACTGTACACCACTCTTACTCTTGCTACTTAAGTGCTTATACCATAAGCAGCTAGCTGTCAGAGCCTATTCAACAGCAGCACTAATAAAGTAAGCTTTAAAAGTAAAAAACACTTCTTCTTTACTTATCTTTAAAGTTTAAAACACTTGTTACGCCTTTATTTCTTTATTACTAGTAATAAAGTAAGTTTATAAAAGCTTAATTATTTTTTTTATGTTTTTAAACTAAAAGTTATCTAATTTAGCTAAGTATCTAGGCTCTAGGTATTCCTTTGCGATACTAGCAGTGTGTCCCTATACTAACGCTATGCATGCACACTTACTCTAATAGTAATCTAAATTAATGTTAAGTCTATCTATAATAAAGGCTTACTATTATTTAAACATAGGTTTTTTGCTATTTATAAGGTTCTTAATCTTAGGCGTGTGTTTAGTAAGGTAGCTTTAAAAAAGCTTTAAGGTCTTTAAAAAGTCTCTTACTATTAGTATAGCAGAGGTAATTTAAGGCATTATTAGAGGTAATTTAGTAGTTAGTAAAGGTTAATTAAAACTAATAGTTTTTAATTTAGTTAGCTGTTTAATTTATGCTTTTAATTAAGCTACTTAGTTTTTAAAGGCTATATTACTAGAGTTTAACTGTAAATCTAGTAAGTTTTTAGCTTTAGGTCTTATAAAAAAAAGTTTATCTATTAAAGTTAGTAGTTATTTAGCTCTAGTAGTAGGCATTTTACCTTAGCTGTAGCTAAAGCGTGTTACAAGCTTTATACTAAGGTCTAAGAGTAGTTAAGAGTTAGGCATTAGTAATTATCTTTAATTCTAATAAGTTATTAGTAGTCTTTAAGTTTCTACCTTAGCACACTTTTTATAACTTTTTTAAAGGTAATCTTAATTATAGAGGATAGAAAGTTCTAAAATTAAAGGCTTTAGTTAATAAAAAGTCTTTAAGATTTTATTTATAATAACTAAATAATTTAATGTAATAGTGTATAAAAACTATAACTTAAACTAAATTAAACACTTTTTAGACTTAAATATAGTTAAATAAATAATTAATGTAATATTATTAATAAGGCTATTACTAGTAAAAGTAAGTTTTCTAATATAATGTAACAGCATAGGGAAGACAATAGGTCTAAATGCAGTAGAAATCCACTTAGAGGCATATAGAAGTGCGTGGGGACTTAGAACCTAGGAATTTCTATTAACACCTATAGGCCTTGGACAAAAGGATATTAGAAAACTACTAAGCTAGCTACAGGGGCGAGGTGCGACTAAGTACATGAGGGAATAGGGGTAACTGCGGGGGACAGGGTCGAGTCATGGTCGGGGCCGATACGGGGACCCTTCGGATAGGATCCGAGCGATCCGAGATGGAACGATTCGTGAGAATCATTACACTACCCTCTCCTTTCGTGTCACTATTAACCTGCGCCCGCGCACCGAACTTCACGTCCTCACGAGCACGTGACCAGTAAGTGGATAACGTAACATCTCTCTTCTGCCAGAACGCTTATATAGCTTAGCCGCTGCGTGCCTATGGCTTGTGAACCTGTTTTTGTCCCTTTGCGCTGAAAAAACCTGACTGTCCTAGGTCTAACCTTATGCCTGTTTCTGCGGTTCATGAAATCTACAATCCATCCACAATCCACTTTCTTTAGATCTCAATACCTTGTCGACTTGCTTACCATATGACCCCTTCTTGGCTCATACAAGACTGTCCAACGTTCGTGCATTGCCACAAGTATACATAGCGGCGCAGCCTGGTGCACGATAAACGATGAACGGCATCCCCTAAAGATCCACAGGCGGCCCGATTAAAGATGTCGCAGCTTCCCGGTTGGTCTGTTGAAAGATCCCTCGCTATTTTGAATGTGGCGCAGCTGGTCGCCTGTCCATCAAGCCCCATGTCAGCGAACGCCCGGGAACGTCAACCTTCTACAAAAAGTTCGCAGACGACGCAAAGATGACTTGCATTCGCAAACTAAGTGCACGCAGCCTTTGGAGATCTCGCATCCCGATCCATCTAATCTTTCTCCCTCCCACCAAGGAACCCCGCACATAACTAACAAAGCCCCCCGCTCCTGGAACTGGAAACCTGAACCTTATAGCCTCATATACCATTCTATTTTCAGACCCAGCACACCGCAACACCAACCATGTCAGCAAACAACTGCAGCGCCAGCACTATATCCTCCAACCCCTTCCTCAACAACGCCTACGTCGGCATCCCCAACGTCAACAACTTCACCTCGCTCCTCCAGTCCTGCTGCCAGGGCGCGCCAGTCGCGCAGTACGCTTCCAATCCATGCATGATTTACTGCAATGTCACTCTTCCGACAACAACGCAGGAGGTCGCGGACTGCGTTGCAGCGAATGCAGAGGGGCAGAAGTTTGGAACTGTGCAGAGTCAGAATGTGACGCATAGTACGCCGACGTCGACGGGAAGTGCGACGGCGAGTGGGACGGCGAGTGTGATGCAGAGTCCGAGTCCGGGTGCGACGGGGGAGGGGAGTGCGGGGAGGATGGAGGGGTTGAGTAGGATGGGGTGGATGGTTTTTGGATTAGGGATGTTGGGAGTGTTTGGGGGGTTGGTGTAGAGAGGTACTAGAGCGTATTGAGATTCAGTTGGGATTGCAGTAGAAAGAGTAATAGAACATGATTGGATAGTACACGCATTACACTTAATGCTGAACTAGTGATAATATGAATACGCCGTCGCTCCAGCCATAATGTAAGCACGGACTGGGCTACCCCTGTACGGCACCAGACCTCTCTTGGTTCAGAAGTTGTCTATGCAAGGAACTTTCTCTTGCATGAGCTGAGAAGAGGTCATATGGTAAGCGAGTTAACAAGGTATTGAGATCTAAACAAATATGAACCGCAGAAACTGTCGCACGTGTCTCACGCGATATCATACCCATGTACTGCACTATTCACTCATTAGGCATAGCTCCTATCTTGTACAGTATATAGTCAGCTCAGAGCTCTATCGAGCTCCTCAGACCTTACAATACACTCATTCCACCTTGTTTGGATCTCGCTCCCTTGTCGAGTCGTTTGCCATATGCCCCCACCTCAGCTCATGAACCGCAGAAACAGGCATAAGGTTAGACCTGGGACAGTAGGGTTTTTTTCAGGCAAAGGGACGAAAACAGGTTCAAAAGCTACAGGCAGGCAGCAGTTAAGCTATATAGGCGTTGTGGCAGAAGAGAGAGTAGTTAAAAGGTAGGCATTAGAGAGGTCTTAACTGTTTTTAGTAAGAGAATTGTTTAGCAAGGCAGTAAGAGGCGCTAGCTGCATTTAGGGTTTTAGTAAAATTAAACACTATCCACCTCTAGCTGTTAGTAGTACATAGATAATAGATAAAAACATTTTACAAAGGCTCTACAAGCTAGATTCTGTAATTTTGTATGCATCTATACAGTTTATAGGTAGTTAGGAATAGCATTATAGTACTTAGCTAGCATTAAGCGCTAGCCGCATTTAGGTTTTTAGTAGAATTAAACACTATCCACCTCTAGCTGTTAGTAGTACATAGATAATAGATAAAAACGTTTTACAAAGGCTCTACAGGCTAGATTCTGTAATATTATATGCATCTATATAGTTTGTTAGTAGTTAGGAATAGCATTATAGATGGTACTTGGCTAGCATTAGGTGCTAGCTGTATTTAGGTTTTTAGTGGAATTAAACAGCACCCACCTCTAGCAGTTAGTAGTACATAGATAATAGACAGAAACGTTTCACAAAGGCTTTACAAGCTAGATTCTGTAATATTGTATGCATCTGTGTCACGATTGTGCACGAGTAAGGTTATAGAGCTTCACGGAGGTCTAGTTCAATTACTATGTGAGGTATCATGGTAGGTACAAGACGTTGTGTGAGGAACAGGAAGGTTTAGAAGGAAATTAGTAATTAAATACTTAGCTTAGAAGTCTAAGCGCTTTAGGTATAAATTAAGCCTGTTCTAGGTTTAGTTAGTGTTAAGGCAGTTTGTGCTTAAGTTCATGTCTGTGTTGTGTCGTGTTTGTGTCAGACGTGCACTAATAATACTCTAGTACGCGTCCGATACGGTTATGTCTAGGATCCGGGGAGGATACCGTGACAATCTGTATGGTTTGTAGGTAGTTAAGAATAGCGTTGTGGTACTTAGCTAGCATTAGGCGCTAGCTGCATTTAGGGTTTTAGTGGAATTAAACACCATCCACCTCTAGCAGTTAGTAGTAAGTAGAAAA